ATTTAAATGTTCATTATTAATAACATGTTAGTCATTATTCCAAACTATTTACATCAATAAGGATATCAGTTAGTGCGAAGTATGCTGTTATTAAAAAAAATATGTTTATTCGAATTAAGTGGAATGTTTACATTGGGATGTGTTGATAAGACCAATTACTGAGAAAATTACATTATGTTATCAGCAAGATTGCTGCAATGTGAAACAAAACTGTCGATGGAATAAGAAATGTGGGTTGTAGTTTTCAAAAAATTGACTTAATTTAGTTAAATCATGTACAGATTCCGTGTAGTGGCGGTGTAAGAATATCCACTACCCAATATCATCCCGTGAGTGTTGTAAGAAGCGACAGAGAGAATCTGAATCAGCATCTTACTGATAACAATTTAAATTTATAAAATCTGCATACTGCGTTTCACCAGGGTACCAGGAGTAAAGAATTACAAAAAAAGATTTCACGAACTTTTTTTTTATAGTTTCTATTTTATTTTATTGCGAATATCAACAGCGGAGTTCAAAACAATATTACTTTGGCTGGTTTCTCTTTTATCTCAAGGTGATGCCTCTGTGAAAAACGGTGAAATCCACGGGCATTAGGACTGTATATAAGCGACTTTTGAATTCACAGTAGCTTAATTATTAGGAGTGCATACTAGAAGCTCGAAAGTTCATTGGTTGAAATCCATCATTCTACTAATTTCGTGAAACAATCCTAGCACAACTTAGATGGCGTGGTTCCACTGTGCAATTAGAAGTTTTCTTCCTCGCACAAATTCTTTGTGAAACCACTGGGCGATTTTTGAAACGATATGACTTAGAGATCTTCAAGAAAGGAGTTAATTTAATGATTAGTTATATTTACGCGAACACTACATTTAAATAAAAATAGTTTTACGGATTTTATCGCGCGTATATTAACTTATTTTATATTCCGGACGTTTCGAATACTTTACAGCACCCCTGATCACGAGGGGGGGGGGGTGACTGAGGTGTATGACGTCCCAATTTAACCACGGTTACCTCCAGCTTAAAAGTACTCGAAACGTCGCGAATATAAAATAAGTTAATATACGTGATGAAATCCGTAAAACTTGTTTTATTTGAATTAAAAAAGAGTTAATTTTTTTAAAGGCTTGCAACGCAACTATAATTCCCTGTTGTACGAGTTGTTCACGGACAGCGGTAGTCAATTACCATCAGGTTAACCGCATACTCGTTTGTCCCCTCTTCTATAAAAAAAAATATTACGACTAAATCTTCTATACCAATAAATATTGCTATATCCAGCTGTGACTGGAGGGAGGAAGGAGGAGGAATTACTTGATGCTCCCGGCTCTGATAAGCATATCAATACTACAGGAAAAACACATCCTCTGTCATTGTTCTGAATGCGTGTAGATGATAAGGTACTTTAACGTTATTCGACGGCTAGTTATAATCAAAGCGAAATTGCTATCTACAAATTATATGTATATTTGCCGGGTGGCAGACTTTGTACTATCCTTCCGGCAGATGGCGGTTTCGCTCTGGATTTCCTTTGGATTTCATACATATTCTGGGCGATGTACACAATTTCCCAGATGAGTGCTACATTTGCGAATTAAGGGTTCGCAATTAGTCAGGATGTGCAGAGACGTTTCTTCCGTTAAGGAACAGAACCGGCACATCCTTAAGTTGCTTCGTCCCAGGATGGACGTGAGCTTTTCTAAGACAACAGTGTCCAGTCAGTGCTCTTGCCAGAATGCGCAATTTATTTATACCTAATCCCGGGCTACTTAAGCGATTTTAATATCAAAAGTCCGGATTAAGGTTTTAGAATGTTTTAGGCCTGGTGTATCAGACCAGATCTTAAGTGATTTATTGTGATAAAGAGTTTCAAGGGTCAATCTGGCTAGGCATTTTGAGATTCCTTAAAATAGCTCCAAATTTTGTACTCTTTGAGCCCTCCCGTGCGAGCTTGTCGACAAGTTCATTGCTTACAATACCCGCGTGACTACCGAGAGTTACTAAGAATAATTTATCATACGTAGTGGATAGCTCCTTCGCCGAAGTCAATCATCAAAGTATTCCGTGTAGCGTGTGTAAGGGTTTCCATTTCACTGTCTTAATCATTATGGAGTAAAAGCCCAGAAAGAGCCTATTAAAACTGCGCCTGTGCCTGTCGTTTTTAAAACTTGCTCTTCTAATATGTTCGATGTTGATTTTTTTTAATACGGGGGGCGGTACTACCATCTACTTTACGTCAAACCTAAAATACCCAAACTAGGACGGGAGCATAATCAAGTTTTTCCGACAGTGGGAGAGACTCATAAACTGTATTAGTTATTAATGCTTGGCAAATTTTATCTACAATAGAAGACACCCAAGTCCAGTAGCAAAATTTAGGCAGGAAGGAGAAAATTACATTAAAGTAAACGACGCAAAATTTCTTTTTTTTTTTAATTTTTGAACATTCAATAATTAATATATAGCATAAGAGTAGTGATAGTTCAGGCGCTAGTTGTTCACTATAAATTTCAAAGAACGCGAGCAACCCGGGTTCGATCCCCACCGGCACCAAAGAAATTTTTAATTGTAATTTTAAGTGCTGATTTACCATGTGCTCGGCGGCGACGGAAAACATCATGAGGAAACCTGCATGTATGAAAAATAAGAAAAAATTTTTTTCGAATACATCATGTGAAGTAAGACAACGCGCATTGAGGCAGCCCGGCGGACATTTCCTTACCCTCAAACCGTCTCAAAATATGAGAGGAGGCCGGTGCCCAGCATATCCTTTATATGCTGTAACTTTTTACTTTAAATAATACTTCTACATGAGAGTACCTAAACATAAATTTTTATCGCTCATTGCAATAAAACAGTTCGTGTATCTCAAGTGTTCGTGACACGGATCATTACAAAAGTTTATTATAAACAAAACGCGCCAGTTATGCTCTTACTCGTGATTAACAGATTATTTATATCACTAAACGACGTTTTAAACACCTTGTTACATTGTAATATTCATAAATAAAGAGCCGAAGTAGAGACACAGAGTAAAGAGTATAGAGAGAGCCATCTGTTTTCAATTCCCGCCGGCACTTAAGAGATATTCACTAGCTGTTTGCCGCGACTTCGCCCGCGTGTTATTTGGGGTTTTAATTTTTTTGCGCGAAACCCTAATTCTTTTTCTAAAATAAATGTAGCCTAAGTTACTCCTTGTGACATCAGCTATCTGCCAGTGAAGATCCCGTCAAAATCGGTTCAGCCGTTTTGGAGATTAGCCGGAACAAACAGACAGACAGACGGACAGACAAAAACTTTAAAAATTGTAATTTTATTATTAGTACCGTATATACTTTCAAATGCATTTAGTAAAAAACTGTAATTTTGACATTACAAACAGACACTTCAATTTTATTTATTTGTATAGATATAGATATTTGGCCGCTTTTCCACCTGCTAGAAACTTCTGCATGAAGTGTCCGACAGTCTGTCAGACAGTTTGTCAAAGGTTTCCCGCAAGTAGTTACGAGTGCAATTAATTGCAAGTATAAACATGTTCACTTCGACTCGCGACAGATCGCTCTGTTTATCTGCCGACTTCCAAAAAGGAGACGGTACTCAATTCGACTGTATGTTTTTTTATGTGTGTTACCTCATAACTTTGTACTGGGTGAACCGATTTCAATGATTCTTTTTTTATATAAAAGCTAATAGTTCTCGTGTGGTCCCATTAGAATTTGATCAAGGTCAGACCAATGGTTATTGAGTTATTCTTAAATAACTTATATTGAAGTCGCTTATATTGAAGTCGGCTGTACAAAATTTTTAATTTTAAATTATCAGTTTAGCGTCCACATATCTCGCAGTCTCGCACAACCTACTGGTTGGTTTTGTTCTTGTTAAATAAAAATAAGTCAATGACAAAAACGGGAATGGTCTCAAGGAGATACAATTAAATTAATAGGGTTTTATGAGTGCAACCCTTGTATTCCCATAAACATAACATAACCGGCATGTTGATTATAAAAATAGAATTTAAACACTTTATAATTAATAACATCGCACAAGAGTTCTTTACGATTACGACCGAGATATGAAATGTCCGGAACTATACAATTTAGGAAGTCAATGGCTGAACGAATTCAAAAAAATTAAAGATAAAGAATAGTGGAAGGGGCCAAGATGATCTATGTAAATATAAATTCTCATATATATTGGCGACATCTAGGTGTGTGGTAGTATAATACGAGCTTCTCGCGAGATATTTATTTCAGAAAAAAATTGCAAGAAATATATCTTTATATATAAAAATTATGTGTCACGTTGTTTGTCCGCGATGAAATCCTAAACTACTGAACTGATTTCAATAAAATTTTGCACACTGCGTTCAGTATATATATATATATATATATATATAATATATATATATATATATATATAATATATATATATATAATTATAAATATATATATGTATATATATATATGTATAATTATAAATATATATATGTATATATATATAATTATAAATATATACATTTATATTAAATATATATATATATACTAGCTCGCCAGGTAGACGTTGTTCTGCCCTCTACGACGACCTTTTGTCTTATAAAAAATCCTTAAATTCGTAATAAAAAATATTAAGCGTACATTTTTAGGGAAGGTAAGTTAAAGGTAGAATAAGTCCACGTGATGGCAGGTGAATGCTGTGGCCCATATGCACCTAAATTTATCCTCGATTAAGAATAAAAACCTAGATGTGTTGTCACCCCTGAATAACAGAATAGGGAGAAGGCTAGAGTGCCTTGTTATCAGTAAAAAGGGTCTCCGGTTCGCTACACTCACCATACGTAACACAGTAGCATTAAGCTGCTATTTTACGCTGGTTTTCTTTAAGAGTGTATTCCTTCCCCGGTCTAGACGACATTTGTACAGCAACCATAATATACATATATATGCAGCGTGGCTCTAACATGTTAAATCTAACTAATTTTTTTTAATTTACAGACAAAAAATATGCAACTCCATCGAGATACCAATATTAACAAGATGCTGCTTCTGTTTCCCGCTCAGAAAGGGGCTCATCGTCTTCGCTTATGCCAACCTGGTAAGTTGAAAATTTTCAAATACGTTACAAATGACCAAACCCAAGCCATCCCAGACCGACCAAAAACGAAGGGCGGGGCGCTACGTACACTTCAAGGGACACAAAAACCAAGTCAAAACCATGTTAAACTTTTTGTAAGTACACGTTTTAAGTGTATATGTCCTGAGGTGAACTTTTACGGGCTGCTTTTAAGAATAAGGGTGAAAAACGAGTACATAATCCATCTGATGGTAAGTGAATGTTGTGGCCCATAGACATATTCATCTATCCGCGATTAAGAATCAAAATGCAGTCACACCTGAAGACAACATGACAAGTTTTCAGTTAAAAATGGTCTCTGGTTGTCTACACTCACCATACGAAATGCAGCAGCATTAATCTGTTATTTTATGCAGGTGTTCTGTGAGAGCGTGGTCCTTTCTCGGTTGAACGGACCAATTCGTGCTACAACTAAAATATTGCTGCACCACAAAGAGTTAAATTTAAAAAAAGAAAATGCAAAGATGCGTGAGTGCGTCATCAAAAAATCGAGCATAGTTTTCGCATCTTCAGCATACTTTATTAATCTGAAAAACTTACACATTTTTTTGTAATATTATGTGTGATACAATAACATCTAAAATAGACAAAAAGTCCTTCAACGGTCTAGTAGACTCAAGTGAACTGCAGACTCATCTACAGACGTACTGTAACCATAATATATATGCAGCGTGGCTCTACCACTTTAAACCTAACTGTATATACTATAATATATTAACCTAAAATTAGTTTCAGCGTGACGAATAAAAACAGTTTCTACCAGTGGCTCCAATTAACCGTATATATTACGATACTTTTAGTAAAAGAGTTTCACGACTGCAGATAAATAATGTATATTAATATATACCTTACGAGAAAGTCGTGCTTATACGAGTAATACATCATTTTGCAACATAAAACCACGTACAGTGGATTTCATTTATTACGACCTTGGCTGTAGCGACCATTTACCTATAGCGACGTTAAATCTAAGTCCCTCGAATTTAAAGCATATTTTAGTACAAAATTCATGTGTCTATAGCGACTTTGGATGTAACGCCGAGTTCGGGTGTAGCGACTGTTTTTAATAAATCATTTGTAACAAATTCCTAGAAATCCCATGCAAATATTGCGACCGGAGTCGGCCGCCAAATACACAAAGATTTCTTTCTCTCACAAACATTTCTTATCTTTTGTTTACATCCACACAGATGGTCAGCAAGTGTGGAGACTTTTACCTTTACTTTATAGATATCAGCTAAGTACGTAGGGAAGCGTGTACGTTTCGGAGTTAAATTTATGGTTCAGTTACAAAGTGATATTCTGTGAGTAGAAACTGTAATGTATTGAATTTGTTACTTTTTCTGCCTTTGCCTGTAACGACTTTCGGATGTAACGACGAAAATAGAGTGGTCCCTTCATCGTCATCATACCCGAAATCCACTGTATTTACTACTAAATATGCTACCCAATAGCAGCGCTTGCTGCTTTACTGCTGTGTTCCGCTCTAAAGGGTTTATAGAGCCAGAATGATTACAGGCTGTGAGACATTCATCTTAGTCTTCAGATATGACAACGCATTTGTAACCATTATTGCTTGAAGTTGGTTGCAGGTGCTGCAATAGCCACATACAATTAGATCGATTGTTGGTTCCTTTATAACTGCAGTTTTATATAAAAAAAAACCGGCAAAGTGCGAGGCGGACTCGCGCACCGAGGGTTCCGAATAAATCTGTAGGTATATAAGTTTAAAATTATTAAAAAAAATTCTATAACATGATGTAACTAAAAATTTATGCTTTTCGCAATTTTTCCTTTATCTGTGCTATAAAACGTTGCTTCGTACCAAATTTCAAGATTCTGAGTTCACGGGAAGTACCCTGTAGGTTTTGATTCCCTTGCGAATGTCGAAAATTTACGGCATAAACGACTGTATCTTTTGATTGCGTTGGCTTAGAAGTTTGATTTTTTCACAGCTCTAAGGGACAGTAGACTTGAGTATTTGATATGAATTTCAGCTTTCACGCGTTCCTGAGTAAATGGGTCTTGACAGGCAGACGGACAACAAAGTGATCCTATAAAGGTTCCGTTTTTTTCTTTTGAGGTACGGATCCCTAAAAAAAAAACATTATAGTTCAACATCGTATTACGATATTTACGATTCACTTTTTAACCTCTCGCTTTGAAAATTAATAATTTTCATGAGTAGAAAGTTATAGATTTCGGTCCGATCTTGAGAATGCGAGTTTTCATCATCATTTCATCACGTTTCGAGGTCCTAGGAATCCGTTCCGACTATTCCCGGTTGGACGTCCGGCCGTGTGTATGTCTGTATGTAAATAAAATTTTGTCATACGATACGATATCTATAGAATGAACCAACTAATCGAGATGGGCGACACGGCGTTCGAAAGTGTTCATTGAGACTTGGAGCTGATTAGATTTTCTATTCAATTGGTCGAGACGTTTCAAAGATTTTTAAAGAATAAAAACCAAAAAAAGAACCAAAAAATAAATAGATTTTCTAGCGTTGCGCTCGAAAATAAGCGCCAATAATACGTTCCAGGGATAGCCTTTAGTTTCAAATTATCATTACTTTTATATATACATTTATTAGTTTTCGATTAAAACTAATTTTGCTAATTTTATCACGTTTTGTGGACACGTACATACTAATTTAAAATGAACTTTTTTTGTGATTGAATAAAACTACTTTTACGGATTTTTTCGCGTTTAATTAACTAATTTATTGAATAAAACTACTTTTACGGATTTTATCGCGTTTACATAAATACATAACATACATAAACACTCACGCCTGTCACCCAGAGGGGTAGACAGAGATTATGGACTTCCATTTGGCACGATCCTGACACACCTCTCTCGCTTCCTCCACATCCATATACCTACGCATACACGCTCGTCGGTTAAAGGTACTCTTGATTTGGCCCATTTTTAATATATCGCCAATTTTGTCGATAAACTTTCGCCTAGGGCGACCCTTCCCGACTATGCCGTTCACCTCTGCAACATAAATTTGCTTTGTCACTCTTTCCTCATTCATTCTTTCTACATGGCCAAACCACCGAAGCATTCCTTTCTTAATCCTGGTCACAACATCATCTTGCAAACCACACTCTTCTCTTATTAAACAATTTCTCACTCTGTCATTCAGCTTCATCCCTAACATACTCCTTAATGACCGCATTTCTACAGCATTTATTCTACTCTCATGCTTCTTCTGCCACACCCAACTTTCACTACCATACATTAAAGTAGGTACTAACACAGCATTGTGAATTGCCATACGTGCCTTTTTGGACACATTCTGACTTTTCACAATAGAGTGTAGAGCCCCATTCACTCTATTTCCTGCATTCACTCGTCGTTCTATATCCTTATCATATCTACCATCCCTGCTAAACACACATCCCAAATATACAAACTCATCTACTTGCTCTACCAACTCCCCTTCTATTCTTATTTGGATGAGTTGCTCGCGTCCGTAGGCTTCGATCACCTAATCCCAGGCCCACCCTACACGTGTCCCCCGGGTGGTGCTAAACGAGCGACAAAGCCGAAAGAACTGACTCGGCTCCTCGCCGTGTGGTAGCGGCGTAAAAAATACCACAACTTACTTTCGCACCATGAGGCAAAATATTAATGAAATATTTATCGCGTTTAATTAAGTTATTTTATATTTCTGACGTTTCGGTTGCTTTCCAGCAACCATGGTCACGGGGGACTGAGGTGATTGACGTCCCGATGTCAAAGTTAACCCGGAGTACCTTCAGCTTTTAAATTATTAATTTTGGACCGATCTACGCAGAATTAATTAACTATGTCTTGAAGTCTTGCAGTGGTATGCTTGGGTTTAGTTTTAATTTTATGAATTACAGGATCCCAAGCAGGTGGCAATACCCAGCCTCCCTCTCTATTGAAATTAGGATGTTTTTTAATTTCAATAGCCTCACGCATCATCCTTGGCAGGAATCGATGTTCTTTCGCGAGAACTTGTGGTTTGTCAAATCTAATGTAATGGCGGGGGCCGTCTAGGATATGATCACAAACTGCAGACTTCCCGGAACGTTGGTGCTTCACGTCAGCTATGTGTTCTTTTACGCGAGTTTTTATTGATCGTTTTGTTTGCCCTATATATGAGACCACACTCACAATCAAGCTTGTACACTCCTGCATCTTGTAGAGGAATATTGCACTTGACGGATGGTAAGAACTGACTAATCTTCTTCGGCGGCTTGAAGAATGTTCTAATAGAAGCTCGCTTCAAGATGTAGCCAATCTTGTCTGTGGTACCTCTGACATATGGTAGTACAGCAGGCACACGCTCGACTGTGGCCGGCTTCACTCGGTCACTGTGACGTAGGCGCGGAACTCGAAGTTTGTTGTTGTGCAGAATCTGCTTGACGTGCTGTAGCTCGGCGGCCAGGTGTTTGCTGTCACAGATCCCTCGTGCTCTCTGCAACAAAGATTTGCCCACGGTAGCTAACTGTAAAGGGTGATGGTGGCATTCACCGTTTAAATATCGGTTTGTATGGGTCTTTCTTCTATACACAGTGTGACCTACGGTGTTCGTACGTTGTCGAATGACTAACACATCTAGGAAAGCTAAAGAATTATTTGCCTCTAACTCCATAAACAAATAACTTACTTAAACGCGATAAAATCCGTAAAAGTAGTTTTTTTTTAATTCTAGTAATACTATTAAACATCACTAATATTCCCTTTAACCACTTCCGGTAAGCTTAAAATGCTTGTGTTAGAAGTGGTTCACGACAGTAGTCAAATGGCGGATTCGAACCCACGACCTTTCGAGTTCGCGGTCCGTGCCCTGCCATTAGGCTACTGACGGTCTCAAAGTTTTATTCAATGTGTAGTGTTCGTGTAAATATAAGAAATCATTAACTTATTTATCTTATTTTTATTAATTCCCGACGCTTCGGGTGCTTTACAGCACCCGCGGTCACGAGGGGACTGAGGTGATTGACGTCCCGATGTCAGAGTTAACCCGGAGTATGTTCACCTTTTTACGGGAATTAATTAAAATAAAATAAATAAGTTAATTAAACGCGAAAAAATCCGTAAAATTAGTTTTATTCAATGTGTAGTGTTCGCGTAAATATAAGAAAACATTTTTTTTTGAGGTTGAAAATTCGAACAAAGTGTACAGGATTATTTTGCAATAACCGGCCTTTGCAGAGTATGTTCAGAATACTTAGGTATAGGCAAATGGTGAAAAACTTTTTTAAAAATCTCAAACATTCTGTACTTTTTATCTTTTAAATTGAAAATGCGTAGTAATGCATTATTTTAACTGATTTTATTGCGCACGCACACATTCGTAAGGGTCGATCGGTAGGCAAAAACGTTGTTGCCCATAAATGACATTCAATTTGGGATAATTTCAAATAAAAGTTGAAGCATTATTTACTCGTATCTTCAAAAACTGCAATAACGATATATAATTATTTATATATTTGAAATTAAGTTTAAAATTCGGCTACTCTTTGAAAAATAACCTTGTGTAATGTATGATGCAAAAAAGCAAAAAAAAAAACCTTCTGTAAGCAATATGCTCCACACTAGTTACTTTGTAAGTCGTATCACAATGAATTAATTATAAACGCGTAATATGAGAAACCGAGGAAATATTTTGTTACGCATCGTATTTGTCGCTTGTCTTGAATTACTGGAACTGCAATAAAGATGTCATTATCGCCATTAATATAAATACAATTAAAGTGTCTGTTTATACATTGAAATAACTGGTGTAGCCATCAAACTCAAAGAGTTATTTGTATGTTATTTAGACACAATCAACCGCTTTCAGAATTTTTGTTTGTCGGTCTGTCTTGTTATCCAGACCAATCTTCAAAATGGCAGAAACGGTTGTGATGAATCTTTACGAACAAATAGGGATTATTATATTTTATACAAAATAAAAATACTTTATCAAAAATATTTTTTTTTGGAAATATTGATAAAATAAATGGCTTTTATTATCCTAATACTTAAACCTAAATACAATCATTAACACAATACATTAATAGATATTATCCAGGCAAAAACTTCGCGGGTCACTATAATATACCTACATAATATTATGTTGATAGATGAATGACGTAATGAAAAAGAGGACGAGAGCTGTCCATATCATTATTATCCATACGCTGACCGATTGAATATGCGCTTAGGGAGAATGGGTTTCGCTTTCCAATAAGATTATCCACGTGTTTGGAGGTGAATGCAAAACATCGTGAGGAAATTGATTCTCTTATTGGGGTCTTGTGGCCGTTAATGAATGTTAAAAACTACTACCGGGTCCGGAAAATAAAATATTGAGTTTTTCTGTAAAGAAATTCTTAGTACCAGTCCGTAGTCGGGATGTTGGTGGCATTTTGATTGTTGGTACTCCATCTGATCTCTCTCCGATCGTGTCGAATTGCCGCCCCATCAGAGATCTAAGAGAGTGAAGGAATACAGTTATCACCAGTGTGGTCTTTTATATAAAACTGAAGTGATAAACGTCGTCTTACAGTCGGCCTGATGGTAAGTGGTGTTATTACACACAGTGTGCACACTTATAGTGTACAAGTGTATAATCCTGCAATGCACAGATAGCTAGAAAAGTTTGTTTTAAAAATCAAGTCCGTAAGCATGTGAAAAAACCGTTGCAAATTTGAACTAACACAGCTCTTATTTTCATATACATATGTATATTTCATATTTGTTCTGACATAGATAATATTTATATGTATTGTGTATATATGCACTGTATGCATGTATATGTGTATATGTGTGTGTATATTTATATGTATATATGTATATAAAATATATTTTTGTTTGTCTATCTCTGTTTAGCCTAATGGTTGACTGGGAGAGAATTCCCTATGGCATTAATTCCACCATATGTACAAATTTCTGCATGAAAGATTAAATAAATAAATGATTATAATATACTTTTGGATAGCTAGTCTCCGTGGAGATTGGCCGCCGTGTCTGAAATTCGGTTGGATGAAAAAGACAAAGTACAAATACGAAGCCCACATTTGTCTTTTTACTAGACAGCGGTTTATAATTATTAGGAAAGAACTGTAACAGATAAAATCCAATATCTGTTCCGCCTGGTCCTATTCCACATAAATAATAGTTCCAAAAACCTGTTACAAAAAAGCAGTCTGTCACTACAGTCTTGGTAGGTACTTCTTTCTAACTAAGGTGTTGAACCTATGCGAGAAAAGGATAGCTTGTGACGAGAACCGGGTGTTACAGTAACATTTTTTATCTTATTCTGACAAAGGTTACTGTCATATTGCGTATGAATAAAGAAAAAATTGTGACTGTCTTTTAGTAGATTTGTTATCTCTTGGAACAGGAGCTGTTCTTTCAGCTTGTTTGTCATAGTTACAGTCTACTATTTTAAGATACCTATTTTTTATCTGTTACGATAGATACGCCTCAC